ACGCATTTCCAAATTCTACATTTTCAGGTATCCTTATAGCAGCACCCTACTCTCTTCAGTACCATTTTACTATATTAGTCCATTCTTACGCTGCTGATAAAGACATGCCCAAGACTAAGTAGTTTATAAAGGAAAGAGGTTTAATTGGCTCACAGTTCCACAGGGCTGAGGAGGCCTCAGAAAACTTACAGTCATGGCAGAAGGGGAAGCAAACATGCCCTTCTTCACATGGTGGCAGGAAAGAGAAGAATGAGAGCAAAGAGGGAGATGAGCCCCTTATGAAACCATCTTGTCAGAACTCACTGTCACCAGAACAGCATGAGGGGTGATCACCCCCATGATTCAGTTACCCTCCCACAACACATGGGGATTATGGGAACTACAATTCAGATGAGATTTTGGTGGAGACACAAGCAAAGCATATATCCATAGTAATTTGTATTTCTTTAGGTATTTATGTTTTTCTTATCCAGCTGTAATGATTTTGAAGGATGATCAAGATCAAAGTAGGTACTTTCCATTTTGAATTATCTTTTTAAAGCCTCACAGTATAGAATTATATTTATCCCCTTTATTTTATTTTATTTGTTATTTTTTGAGATGGAGTCTTGCTCTTTTGCCCAGGCTGGAGTCCAGTAGTGCAGTGTCAGCTCATTGCAACCTCTGCCTTCCGCGTTCAAATGATTCTTGTGCCTCAGCCTCTTGAGTAACTGGGATTACAGATGTACGCCACCATGCCTGGCTAATTTTTGTATTTTTAGTAGAGACGGGGTTCCACCATGTTCACCAGGCTGGTCTCGAACCTCAAGTGATCTGCCTGCCTGGGCCTCCCAAGGTGCTGGGATTACAGGTGTGAGCCACTGTACCCAGCCCCTTTAAGTAAGAGTACAATTTTTTGAATTTTGACAAGTGTTGGAATTATGTAACCACCATCATCGTGTTGTAGAGTATCTTTATTATCCTAAAAAGTGCCTCTGTGCTCCTTTATGGTCAGTTTTCTTTTCCCAACCATTAATTCGCTTTCTTTCACTATAGTTTTGCTTTTTCTAGAATTTCGTTAATTTGTCTATAGTATGTAGTCTTTTGCATGTGACCTCTTTCACTATGTAATACTTTTGAAATTCATCCATATTGTTACCTGTATCCATTTTTTTTTCTTTTTTCTTTTTCTTTTTTTGAGACAGGATCTCGCTCTGTCACTTAGGCTGAAATGCTGTGATGTGATCATAGCTCAATGCAGCCTCAACCTCCTAGGTTCAAGCACTCCTCCCACCTTAGCCTCCCAAGTAGCTGGGACTACAGGCATGCACCATCACACCTGGCTAATGTTTTAAGTTTTTTGCAGAATTGAAGGTCTCATTATGTTGCCTAGGTTGGTCTCAAACTTCTGGGGTTAAGTGATCCTCCTGTCTTGGCCTTCCAAAATGCTGGGATTACAGGTGTGAGTCACTGTGCCTAGCCAGTAGTCTGTTTCTTTTATTTAAAGAATAGTATTTCTTTAAAACTCCAGTTTTAACTCTTTAAAAATTTTGCTTTCCTAAAGGTTAAAATCTATGGATGATCATGCCCTAAGTGATGTGTCTTGGTCACGAATCTTGGAACTTCCTGTGCTTTATCAGGCAGCTCTCTTAGGCTGGACCCTGTTCTGATGATTCTAGCCTACTTATTTCAGATGTGCACTTTATGTACAGCTAAGATGTCCCTACACCCTGTGATTTTGGTTTTTCTTGTAGATAAGGTGTTGCTCTGTTGCCCAGGCTGGAGTGCCGTGGTGCCATCATAGCAGACTGTAGCCTTCAACTCCTGCTTCTGTCCCATTTTTGATGGAAATTGTCATAGTTCATTTTGTGCTGCTATAACAGAATACTTGAGACTGGGGAATTTATAATAAACAAGTTTATTTAGCTCATGATTCTGGTGGTTGGGAGGGGCCTACATCTGGTGAGGGCTTTTTTGTCCTGTCATCTCACCATGGAAGGCAGAAGGGCAAGAGAGCACTAGGGAGTGGGGGAGGGAGAGGAGAGGGCAAATTCATCCTTTATTAAGAACCATTAATCCATTCATGAGGGCAGAGCCCTTATGACCTAATCACCTGTTAAAGATCTCACCTTTAATCATGGTTGGTTTAGGGATTAAGTTTCCAATACATGAACTTTGGCGGACTCATTCAAATCATAGCAGAAGTTCACTGCTTTAAGGGTAGAACACATAGCTTGAATCTATTATTTGTCTCCAAACTCTTAGAGACACATACCAAGTTTTCCTAAAAATCCTTTGTTCTTTACTTCAGTTGCAGTTTGGAGTGGGTCTCTGAGTTTTTCCAGGTCAGCAAGCATCTAACTGTGGAGGGTAAGCATTCCTTAAACTCTCCAAGAGATTTTCTGTGGCCTGCCTCACTGCAGATGAGAAGCATGGCCTTTCACCCCTTAACCTCCTATGGGGATAGTAGTGCATTGCATTCCCAACTAGGATGAAAACTCTCTTCAGAGAAAGCTCTCTCTTTCCTTAGTCTTTAACCTTTTCTGTAAATTGGCCATGGGTAATAATAACCTGAGTTGCAGAACCAGTTTGGGTTACCTCTTAGTAACTCCTATTGGGGTGTCTGGTGCCACTTTTTAGAATACAAAAGTGTGTTTCCACTGTTCTCAGATCTGGGCTTTGATAAAACGGTAATGACTCCATCTTTACATTTTAGTGCATACAGTTCCTTAGAATAAGCATTCTCCTTCCTCTGATCATGGAACCCAGGTCTAATTAAGGAAAATATCACATTTCTAGATTTAGAGCACCTTCTGTGTGGTAGAAACTAAACTAAAAGTCATAAAACCTGGGTTCATTTTGGCTCATTAACTAAATAAATATATAAATAACTGTGTAGTTTCCAAGACCTCGGCTTCCTTAACTATAAAAAGGATATAGATGAGTCCTTTCAGATGTAAGTGTCTGTGATTTCATAATTGTATGTATCATATAATTGTAAAATAATCGTGTAGAAAGCAATAGCAGAATCTATAAGAAGTCAAATGATGGCCTTCCAGGAATTAATACTTTTAACATATATGATAAACTACTTACATTAGTGAAATATAACTTAGGAAGGAGTTGAACATCATAGTGGGAAAATTATCATAGGACATGAACAGAAAATTAACAAAAGAAAAATGAAAACTGCCAGTTAACAATGTTTAACCTGATTGGGAATCAAAACATGCAAATTAAATCAAAAGATACCATTTTATCATAGTAGCAAGGATTTTTTTTAAATGATGCTAATAGCCATTATTAGCATTATGGATAGTTAAAGATGTGGGAAAATAAGCATATTCTTATATTTCCAGTGAAAGTGTAAATTGGTATTAACCTTAGATATCGAGAAATTATGATGCAAATCTATATTGATATGGAACCATGCCTATAATATATTTTTAAGTGAAAACTATGTTAAGCTTATTGCTTGTTGAGGGAGAAGAATGCTCCCTTGTATACATACTTATAAATGTGTATGCTAGAGAAAACTGGACTGCAAGACCTCAGAATTTTAATGATTATTTCTAATTGGTGGTTATATGGATGATTTTTCTATCTTATCTATATCTTTGTATATAGACTGAATTTTTGTAGTATTTACTAGTTTTAATTTTTAAATAGAGAAAAATGTGCATATTGCTAAAAATTCAGATAAAAAAGTTAGCCACATGTGAGGATATGCACCTGTGGTCCCAGCTACTCAGGAGGCTGACAAGGGAGGATTGCTTGAGCCCAGTAGGTCAAGGCTGCAGTGAGCCATAGTTGTACCACTGTACTCCAGCCTGGATGACAGAGCAGATCTTGTCTCACACAAAACATGGGGGATGGGGGGCAAAGGATATGAATAGGCAAGAGTAGAAATCCAGACTTAAATTACAAATATTCTTTGACCTAGTTTTTTCATATCTAGGAATTTGAGGATATAATCACAGATTTGTACAAAGAATTTTCTATAATGTTCATTGCAGCTTTGTATATAATGCTAAATTTGAAATCGAACATACTGTTCAGATTGCTAGAGGAATCCAAAGAGGGAAGGGTATAGAGTGGCAACTTAGGGAAATATTTTAAGAGTCTATGTTGGTCAAAAAGTCTACTGAACCAAATTTATATTTTCAGTTAATGTGTTAGGAAAGTTAATTATATGTATATACTAAAAAAAATTGTTAAACATATCTCTAATATTTCTAAATTAAAATTTTTTTAAACTTTTTTTTTCTGTAGCTCATTTTTTTTTAAATTTTACTTTAGGTTCTGGGGTACACGTGCAGGTCATGCAGGGTTGTTGCGTAGGTGCATACTATATCCGTCATTTCTCCCCATGTTATCCCTCCCCACCCTTCCCACACCCCCATGTCTCTCCCCTAGACCCCCACCAACTGCCCCCAGTGTGTGCTGCTCCTCTCCCTGAGTCCATGTGTTCTCATTGTTCAACACCGCCTATGAGTGAGAATATGCGGTCTTTGGTTTTCTGTTCTTGTGTCAGTTTGCTGAGAATGATGGTTTCCAGATTCATTCAAGTCCCTACAAAGGACATGAACTCATTGTTTTTTATGGCCACTTAGTATTCCGTGGTGTATATGTGCCACATTTTCTTTGTCCAGTCTATCATTGATGGGCATTTGGGTTGGTTCCAGGTCTTTGCTATTGTAAACAGGGCCGCAATGAACATATGTGTGCATGTGTCTTTATAGTAGGATGATTTAAAATTTTTTAAACTTTTTACTGTTTTCCATGTAGGTATATCTTATTTACCTGTCTCTTGATAGATTTCAGAGCTTAAACTGAAAAAGTGATTTGTTCAAAATCTTATCACTAGAAAGTAATGACAGATTTTTACTTTTCATTTCTAACACCATTAACCATAGGTTATTGTAATATCTTTTCTCCACAATAAAAATGGAAAATCTTTTATGGAAATCATTTTCTGTAAATATGTATTTAATACTTATTTCATCTTTCTTACCTTTCAGAATTACCATGAAATTATGACTCGTCATCCTGAGAATTATCAATGGGAAAACTGGAGTCTAGAAAATGTTGCCACCATTTTAGCCCACCGGTTCCCCAATAGTTATATTTGGGTGATAAAATGTTCCCGAATGCATTTGCACAAATTCAGCTGCTATGACAATTTTGTAAAAAGTAACATGTTTGGTGCCCCAGAACACAATACTGACTTTGGAGCTTTTAAGCACCTTTATATGTTATTAGTTAATGCTTTTAATTTAAGTCATAATAGTTTATCAAAGAAAAGTTTGAATGTTTGGAATAAGGACTCCACAGGATCTAACTGTAGATCCAGTTCTTCTCATACTACGAATGGTTGCCAGGGAGAAAAAGAGAGGACCTGTGAAAAATCTGATGAGTCTACCATGAGTTTTTATCCACCCTCACTAAATGATGCATCTTTTACTTTGATTGGATTCAGTAAAGGTTGTGTTGTTTTGAATCAGTTGCTTTTTGAATTGAAAGAAGCCAAGAAAGACAAGAACATAGATGCTTTTATCAAAAGCATAAGAACAATGTATTGGCTGGATGGTGGTCATTCTGGAGGAAGCAATACTTGGGTTACTTATCCAGATGTTTTGAAAGAATTTGCACAAACAGGGATTATCGTTCACACTCATGTAACACCTTACCAAGTACGTGATCCAATGAGATCTTGGATTGGAAAGGAGCACAAGAAATTTGTTCAGATACTTGGGGATTTTGGTATGCAGGTGACTAGCCAAATTCATTTTACAAAGGAAGCTCCTTCCATAGAGAATCACTTCAGGGTTCATGAAGTATTTTGAGATTACACATATACTAATGAACTTGTTGAGTGGAAGAACATAAGCATTTTGAGTGTTATAAATTCAGATAATGGGATGTAATTCATGGCTGCATTGTCAGTTTTGGGGTATGGGGGGAAGCACACATTCCTAAAATATGAGTGTAATGTGCAGTAGTATTTTTTGCTTGTGAATGTGAACAGTAAAAATTTGGATTGGGTTAGAATTAATTTGAAACTTAACAAGGTGGTTTGTAATAATCCTGAGGAGATATAAGACCCTTAAAAAAGGAAAATTACCCAAAGTGCAATAAAACATATATATATATATGATGAAAGTTACAACAGAGTTCTTATAAAAGGTAACTAAAATAGTTATCGCTGGAAATAGCTGATTTTCTGAGTAATGTTTTAAACTAATTTGGTGACATTTTAACAGTAATTAGCTATTTTGGCACTTAAAACGTGAGTGGAAATATTTTCATTTCTCTTCTAACAAAAGCAAAGGTATGATGCTGTTTTCTATCATTTTGGAATAACTGCACCCTGCCTCTTTTGTTTTGCAAACTCATTGACTCATTCTTTCATGTGCCACCAAGTACTTTTCTCATGAGAATCAACATATATTTGTTTCCAAATGTCCAAGAGTGTACAATAGTGTAAAAGTGGTTTTAAAAAACATAGCCAGGTGGTGGTATGTGCCTTTAGTTCCAGCTACTCAGAGGCTAAGGCAGGAGGATTGCTTGAGCCCAGGCTGTGGTTCACCATGTTTGTGTTTGTGACTAGCTACTGCACTCCAACCTGGGCAACATAGTGAGACTTCATCTCTAAAACAAAACAAAATTACACTTAAGCACTATTAATTTTTAATTGATGGTTTTTTATTATTTTGGATAAGACATTCTGGGGTTTCTTGAATCTTGGCCAAAACCTAGTTGTTTGGGAAAATTGCAATTGAGCATATTTATGTATATTGAATAAAAATGTAATACAGAGCAAATTTCAGATTTTTCATTATATCAGTCTTTTCGGGATCAACTTGGAAAAAAATAAATATATAATGTTCTATTTGTTAGAGCTCTATTAAAAAGGAAATAGATTCCGTAGATCTAAGTCGATGTTTCTCCAGAAGCATGATTTTGTCTGCCAAAAGAAAATAGCTCTCTTTGGCCAAAATGCAAAATTACATTGCTATAAGAAAAGTTATAAGGGAAAGTTTGAAGACACAAATGATTTAATTTTGGCTCAAAAACTGAATTTGCTTAACACTGCTACATAATTTGGGTGAAGTTTCCTTCTGCCCGTTTTTCTTGACCTAGATAAATACACTTTGAGAAATCAAGATCTAATTAATGTCAACCAACATTGACATTGTAATTGGGTGATTATAATAAAAGGTGAACAGTTTGTTGTTTAATAATAATTAGCTTTTGCAGAACATGAAATGACTAAGCAGGAAAGTAACCAGCTGCTTTAGGACTAAAAAAAAAAAAAAAAGACACTGAAGCTTAATACCTTAATGACCCAGAAGACCTAGATTTATAAAGCCATGCAGAATAAAAATGTTAATTTCTTGGTTTCCTCTCAGAATTATATTTTAGTGACTCTGTAAGTACATTCCAAATACTCAGAGACTCATCAGAAAGGATTCTTACTTAACAAATGCTTAAAAATAACATTGCTGGCTGGGCGTGGTGGCTCATGCTTGTAATCCCAGCACTTTGGGAGGCCGAGGTGGGTGGATCACGAGGTCAAGAGATCGAGACCATCCTGGCCAACATGGTGAAACCCCGTCTCTACTAAAAATACAAAAAAATTAGCTGGGCATGGTGGCACACACCTGTAGTCCCAGCTACTCAGGAGGCTGAGGCAGGAGAATTGCTTGAACCCGGGAGGTGGAGGCTGCAGTGAGCCGAGGTCACACCACTGCACTCCAGCCTGGTGCCTGGTGACGGAGTGAGACTCTGTCTCAAAAAATAAATAAATAAAATAACATTGCTTTTTGGTGTTTTAACACTTAATTTTATAAACCACAGAACAGCATCTTTAAATGGTTTTAAGACAAAGTTGTTTTATGTTGCTTCAGTTTCTTTAAATACCTGCTGTTTCTTTTGAGACCAAAAATTCCCATCAAGGAAATGAATCAGCCTAATGTTAACATTTAACATGTTACATTGCCTTTAAGCACTGATAGGATGGCTTTCCTTTTTTCTATTTATTTAATAATCCTTGATTAAATTCACATGCATCTAAAGTAAAATAGCTGAGGTACTGAATTCTCTGAGGGGAAGAAAAAGCATTTATTTTCACGATTAACTGAAATGGAAAAGTAAGACATTTAGCAGAATTCATTTAAAAATAATTTAAATAAAATAATTTTTAAAAATCAGACATATTTAAAAATATGGGTTCTTTGGCTATCCAGTATTTGAATGCTTAATTATAATTTTTACATGTTGAATGGATATTAAGAGTACCTCACCAGGCATCTAAAACTGCCATCATAGCAAAATGAGACAATGTTGAAAAGAAAAAATATTTTCTGGAATGAAAATATATTCAAGTTGATCCATATTCAGATGTTTTCTGTTTAATACTTCAGATTGGTCTTTTGTCCACATTTGTTTAAAACTGTTATTGTAACATTAATGTATACTATTGGATTGTGCCTTTGTCATGAGTTGAGAAAAGTAGTCCTACAAATGTGAAAGTTGTTACCACCAAGGCATGAATGTATAATTGTATTAAAGTTGATCATCCACAGAGGTTTGTTTGGATGTGCTTTATATTATTAGCATTGTTAAAACTTCAGATTTTTTAAAAGGAAGCCATTTCTGTCCATACTGCTAGTTTGGGTTTGTATACAATAAGTCGTCACCTAACATGTCAGTAGGTTCTTGGAAACTGGGATTTGAAGCAAACCAATATAACAAAACCTTTTTTTCCCCTCATCATTGTTTTTTAACCAAGTGACAATGAACAAAACGTTATTTGAGGACCTGCTGTTTGTCTTTTTGTTTAAAGTCACAGGATGTTGAGGACTTACTGTACATCTTTTCATTATCCTCCATGTCTTTTCAGATGAGCAACTTTGAACCTTTTCTGTACAAATACATATCTTCTCCCTTTTAAATTGCTCCATAAACATTTGCATTATATCCACTTCTTCTGTTGGCTTTCATAAAGAACAAAATCTCTAACAAGTTCATCTTTTCCCCCTTTTCCGTGCTAATTCTCAGGGATCTATAATCCTTTAGCTCCTTACAAGACTTGGTCAGGATATGGTGTAATCTATTTTTCTTTTCATTCATGTACTATCTAAGCAACCACCAAGGTCAAGGAGGGTCTAGGTAATGAGGATGTAGGACAACAATACAAAGTCCCAGCATGATGGTATAGAAATGTTTAATACATTAAACTTTTGAGGTAAAATACAAAACAAAAGGTAGTATTCATAAAAGAGCTTATTTTATTTTACTTAAAGGTCTTTAAGAGAAACAAACATTAGAAGAGATATAGATAGACCTCATCTGTAAACTCATGTTGCTCTTTACAAAGGCAGAGATCCAGCAGCTGTTAAACTAGTTAGTGATAGAGACGGGCAGAGTCACCAGAAAAGGTCATTTTAGTATCCTGCTTAACGGAACTTAAAAAGAGACTACAACTTAGGTATATTTAAGACACCTAAAAACTTGTGGCTTGTATGCTTTAAACAAGACTAAGGTAACACCAGAGATGTGTGGGTGACTGCCAATCTATGTTAGTTCCTCCTGACTACATCTATTTTTTAGCACTGGGGAAAGGAGTCACAGCAGCACAGTTCCAATTCCATCCAGGCCTGCCTTCCAGCTTCCTGAATTTTTTTTTTTTTTTTTTTTTTTTTGTCAACTCCTTTGATGTCTGTTGGCAACTTTTTATAGGTGATAGAAAAGCCGCCTTACTAAGGTTCTTTCCAAATGTTCACATAGCTGCTGTTCAAAAGGATGAAGGATACAAATTAAGTTTTGACTTTGTTTCCTTTGTTTTCATATTTCATCAAAGTGAGTTAGAATTTAATTACTGAACAAATAGAATTCTAATTTGCATCCAAATACCAAGACAAACAATGTTACGAAATGCTAATAATTACACTGCAGTGTTTTTAAATTTGAGATGGGTCTCCCATGTTGCCCAGGCTGAACTTGAACTGGCTTCAAGGCTTCAAGCACTCCTCCTGCCTCAGCCTCCCAAGTAGCTGGTACTACAAGTGTGTACCACCACTCCCAGCTCTGCATATAGTTTTGTTGTTGTTGTTGTTGTTTTTAAGATAGGGTCTCACACTCACCCAGACTGGAGTGCAGTGGCACAATTCCAGCTCACTACACCCTGCACCTCTCAGGCTCAAGTGATCTTCCTATCAGCTTCCTGAGTAGCTGGGACTATTGGTGTGTACCATCACACCCCACTAATTTTTTGTATTTTTGATAGACAGGGTTTTGCCGGGTTGCCCAGCCTGGTCTCGAACTCCTGAGTTCAGATGATCCACCCGTCTTGGTGCATATAGTATTTTTAAAATGCATTTTGAAAGGGTAATGTGAACAAAAGTTCAAATAATATAAAACTGCAGATTCCAATCGGCCCACATAGTTGAACCTCTTCTTGAAGGCATCAGTATCACTAGTTTCTCTTGCATCCTTAGAGATAATTATATGCATATGCAAATAAGATATTTACACACCACATACCTTATTACACAAGTGGCAGTACAGTTTCATATTTTTCATGTAACTACACTGGAAAAATTCCATGCCTGTTCATATACCTCTTCCTCATTCTTTGCATAGTATTTCATTTTTTAAAATTGTATTACATTCTGGTGTAACGCAATTCATCATTACTTTTCTTTTTTAGATGGAGTCTCCCTCCAACTTCCTGGTTCAAGTGATTCTCCTTACTCAGCCTCCCAAGTAGCTGGGATTACAAGCATGCGCCACCACACCCAGCTAATTTTTGTATTTTAATAGAGAGGTTTCACCATGTTGGCCAGGATGGTCTCAATCTCCTGATCTTGTGATTTGCCCACCTCAGCCTCCCAAAGTGCTGGGATTGATTACAGCTGTGAGCCACTGTGCTCGGCTCATCGTTACTTTTATTTTGAATCTTATCTGTGTAGCAAGCAGTGCAGTGAGAAATTTTGTGGGCAGAGGAAAAAAGTCCTTTTTGCATCAGGTCAGGTCCCCAGACTAGCCAAAGAAAAGCTGTGTAATCTATTCGGAAGTGCTGGAGATGTGCTACACATCAGAAAGAAAGAATGGAGAATTACTGATCACAACTGTAATCTCAGTTTCTATCACCCAAAGCTGTGTGAGCCCAGACAATCATTAAGCAATCTGGGTTCGTTAGATAGCTTCTAAATAAAATGTCGTTCAGTAAAAAAGTAAGATTCAGAACCCCTGAGAAGTTCCAGCTAACATATACTGTGTAATATTTTATACATTAAAAACAAATATCTCATTTGGTCTTAACCCAGTAGGAAAAAAACATTAAAATATTTTGTAGTTGAAATAAACAGACCCTAATATTAAAAACTATGACCAGGGAAGTAATTTTAAAACATCCCAAAGGAAGGTTCTCTAACTTTGTAAATATTATAAATACTGCAACAGAAGCTACCTCAAATCTCTCAGCAAAAAAAAGAATATAATTAAATAGAAAAACTAGCATAAGTCACCAACTATGTGCCTGCCCTTGAACTATCTTTCTGCATTTTGGTAGTCCTGTTTTAAATATGAGGAAAATAAGCTTCACAGATAAATGTTATTTTGTCTAAGACCATCCAGTTTGATTCTCCATTAAACAAGATGAATGTTGAGTGCACAACTGTAATCTGTTACTTCCAAGTTTTCTACATGACTCTAGATTTATACTTTCTATCAGTTCAATTGCTAAGAAAAAAAAAATGATGAAAAACTGACCATAAATACTGTGTACACTAAGAGGAGTTTTGTGTTTTCCCTACTGAAGGACAAGGAATCACTAAAGAAGTTCTTTGCTTAGCCTAAGGTAACAAAGATCAAAATCTGATAATTAAATGTGGCTAATATAAACATTCCTTTTCTGACAAGACTTTTTTCAGCTTTGTTGACCTGAGTAACTTATCTGTTTCCAAAGACACTTAGAAAACTCAGAATGTTTTATATGCTTTTCCTTTCTTATTTACTATAATTTATAGGGCATGAATGGATGGATTCTCTTCAATAGAGAAAATTATTTTCTCTAATTAAAATGCACCAAATTGAGGTACTAAGAGATTGCTTTAGATGGGCACATTTATGTTCAGCAAAGATGATCTGCTTTTCAATGACACTGCAATATAATTACTAGGTACAGAACAAAGAATAGCAGAGATCCATACACAATGGCTCACTGTCTTCTATGACAACACTATTAAGATCTCATTTATTCATTCTTTAAGTAAATGTTTCCTAACATTCAAAATTTTTTTTTAAAAAAAGGACAGACCTGACAAACTGGGTGGCAAAAAACGTCAGGATCAGATTAAACATTTGTTTTGGACTAATTACAAACTAATAATACAAGTCACTATCAAGTCCAGTTGATCTCAGTTGATTATGTGTGAAAACACCCTGTGAGGTTCATTAAGTTCCTATACGAAATCCCAAACATTCTCAATCAGTCTATAAAGTTGGGACCTAGGTATCTGTACAGAAAAAGTTCCTCATAAAATTCTGCTTCTAGGCAAATGTAACAGATACTATTAGTTACTCATGGTTTTCCTATCAGAACCATGATTTTAAAAACGTATCCATTCTGTCCCCATATACCCCTCATGAGGCCTACACTTCTACTCTCAACTCCAGCAGACCTTACTGCCCTAAGTGTTATTCCAGACCCTTTGCCAGTGACTGGCTCAGGGATAGACAGGACTAAGTTATTTTAGAGCAATGAGACCTTAGGATATGGAAAGTGAATTCTGGGAAAGCTTTCTCATCTTAGGACGAGGCCCCTAGAATCCAGCCTGACTCTTCCGCTGCATGTAAATGAAGATGCAGAAGGCTCCAACTGCTACTGGCAATCATCCCATGACCACGAGGGTAGCCAGACTTAGGAGGATGCCAATGCTGTGGGTGAAAAGGGGGTGGGGTGCAGAGGCGGTCTCCCAAGGTTCTTGATGATATTACCGAATCACTGGATCAGAAACACTGCAGCCCATTCTATCTATAAATTTCATGTATTGTGATTCAATATATTTTCTTATTATTTAAGTCATTTTCAGTTGGACATTTAGTGGTCAGCATCTGAATGTTAAAGAGTGGTCCCAGCACAGCATTCTTTAATTATAATAATCTGCATCAAGTAGAATCCACACAAACACCCCTTCTTACTTATATAATCTGTAAATCTGATTTATCTTTCCTATTTTAACAAAATATTTAAAGATTAATTTATATCATTATACCTTTAAAGTATTTGACCTAAATGTTATTAAACTGTTTATGTGCATTGCATTCACTTAATTCTTTACTCAGAGTTCTTACTGTAGGCTTTGTCTTGAATGTGTACGACCATTCGTCGTGCATAGAAGTCCCTATATTCCTCTGGTAATTCGGCCAGTGTTTTCAAGGCTCTGTCCAAAATTTGTGCAGCTCTTGATGCTGCTGTAGGATCTTTGTTGCCATAGGTATCTGTTTTATCATAGCATTCAGATGGAAGGTGCTTCCAAAAGATGTTCACTCCCACTCCAAACTCTTCAGAAATTACATTATGGAACCATAAAGCTGGAGAAAGTTTAAAAAACAAGTTAAAAATAAAACCTACAGTTAAAAAAAAACCCAAAATGTCAGTGAAATATCACGAATTGCATATAGCCAATGTTAAGAAATAATTCTTGTAACCAGATCCCTTCGTTAGCACACTCCAGGCTTTTAACAGAATCATTTTAACTTTTATGAATTGCCAACAAATTTAAAGTGTCAATAGCACAACCCTTACTTTTAAAACCTTTAGAAATAGCAATTTTTCCTTTAAACTTGAAAGACATAATAAAGATATATTTGTTTTGCAGTTCTCTAATCTAGGGCTGTGTTTTGTGTTACTTGTTTATACTTCCTGAGTCATGCAACCACATCAAAGTGTTTATTTTTTGGTACACAGAACATTTCAATTACTTGAGGAGTATCTTTGACCTTCTCTGATTCACTATAATACCTTTGTCCCCGAAGACTTCCTGTTCAAGCTGCAATTTAGTCTTCTAACTTGCTTAATTCTGTATTCATTATGGCCTCCTTCATTTTATATTTTGAATGCAATTATAATCATCTTATATTTCTTTCAGCTCCTTTATAAATAGTATATAAAACTACAGCAAATATTTTGGTGGTGCAAATGATAAGTAAACTTTTATCATATTATATACCTACACTAATCACATTAAAAAACCCTTTTAATCCTGTGAAAGGGAGATTAAATTTTAGAAACTTATTCTAAGAGTGTTTAAGGAAAAACAAAAGCTTAACATATTTTGATTTGGAAAACTAATTTTCAAACATGGCTTTAATCTTAACTACACTTTCTTTCAGAATCTTTTCTTCCTTATTCAATATAATAGGAAGAAAATGCTAAGCATTCTGTTGAATTTAAACCCAAAGATAGGAATTTTGCTTTTGTTTAAAAAAATATGCAAATATTCAGTATTTCTGGTTTTTTTTCTTTTTTTCATAAAACAATTGCATGTAGAATAAAGGAATACCACACAGACCTTAATCATGTTCCCAAGATACAAAAACCAAAAATTTAAATTTAAAAGATGGCAATGGATTTGAAGACTAATATGTTGGTTGCTTTCAATGAAAATAAGAGTTAAAAAGTCAATCAAATTTTTATAGATGATCAATTATATGAAAGACATTATATCAGGCTCTTTGGGAGAAGACAAAGATGAACAAAACATGGTTCTTTGTCTTCAAGGAATTTATCATCTAGTCCCAAATGAAATCATCAAATATCTGCCTTTATTAATATTTACTTATTTTTATCAATGAAAAGAAGTATTAATAATTCTTAATATATTAATTTAGATATGGAACTACAACTATGAATAGAATTTATTAATACAACCCTTTAATTTTAATTATGATTTTTATAATCTTCAAGAGTTCATTTTTAAGTGTTACTTATAGATGTTAATTACCTTGCTGTGGTGACTAACAACATTAAAACTTTATGAACTTTCAAACTAATGCCTATTAATTGAACAAAGAAATTAAGTGACACAAATCCAGACTGTATAGAAAAATAATGTACACAAATGATACCATAGGTATTGAGATTATAAAATTTTAATACTTAATGAAATCTTTCATCTCTTTTGGCCATGAAAAATATTTATCTTTTTTTGATAAATATTTAAGTGGCACAATTCTAAAATACATGAATATTTTAAAAATAATTTACAAAACCAACCAATACAATCTTTTCCCAGATATAAAGTATCTTACTTGATGCCATTTAATAAAATAGAGGATAATATTACTTTTAAAACATAATTTAAAAAACCAACCAGTATAATCTTTTCCCAGATATAAAGTATCTTACTTGGAAAATTAAAAAAACGAATTAAAAAAACACATTAAAAAAAAGTGTCTTACCTGATGTCATTTAGTAAAATAGTTTAGAGTATAATATTATTTTTACAGGTTGCCCTTGAAAGCAAGACTGTTAATTTAATTTATTTACAGACAGTGTTGCTCTGTTGCTCAGGCTGGAGTACAGTGGTTTCATGATGCCATGGCATCAACCTCCTCAACCTCAATCTGCTGGGCCCAAAAGATTCTTCTGCCTCAGCCTCCCAAGTAGCTGGGACTTACAGATGCACACCACCATACCTGACTAAATTTATTTATTTATTTTTATAGAGACAGGGTCTCACTATGTTGCCCATGCTGGTCTTGCACTTTTGGCCTCAAGCAATCCTCCCACCTCAGCCTCCCAAAGTGCTAGGACTGTTAACTTATAATAAGTTTGCCTAGGCCTGCTTTAAGCGTATACACACACACACACACACACACACACACACACACACAGTTTTGTCTAAAAATCATCTTGTATAGGACAGTATACATATAACAAATATATGTTTGTACTAAGAAGAAATCACATGAAGGATGAGTGACAGAGTATATATTTTATAAATAGCACATTACTGAGGTTTAAAAATCTTACCAGGAATGAATAATACATCACCAGCTTCAAGGGAACATTCATATCTTCTAGCCTTGGAAAAAAGTGGATATTTAGCCAAGTCTGGGTTATCTATATTCAGAACTTCTGATTTAGTACCTAAAAAGTTCCAAAAAGGGATAATGTAGATTCAACAAAGTTAGCATTTAAATAAAAGTAATCGCAAATATACATTTGAAAATTTATTCTTTTCTATACAATTACTTACTATACCCACACTGTGAGAATTACTATGCTACTGACATCTAAGACAGTTTTCAGTGACTCACTCTTTAATTCTGATGCCTGATACCCATGTAATATAATTAAGATAATCTCAAAATTTGAACCTGTTATTACAAATATACACAAATACAATGGAGAATACAATTAGGAAGACATCCTGAAGTATTCTTTTCCTGTAAGAATCAAGAGATTTCTCAAAGAGTAACTGAATAGCCTTTAGAAATATAAACTTAGAAAAAAAAACAAAAACCCTACCTTTTAAATATAAATACTGGGCATCTCGAGGACTGAAGAGTACAACACGCTTTTTTCCTGTCACTTGTATTAAGAAATTATCCATTACCTGAAGACCAATAAAAGCTTATGGGTAATTATTATCTAAAATTCAAATAAATAGAACCAATGACATTCTGAACTTTAACTGCAAACCTAATCCTTTAATGAGACGACTTACTTTACTTAGGACTCTTACAGTCACCTAACAATAAAAACATTTGTATTCCATGTACAACTGGGCCTTAAAGACATTTCTGCAGTACTGCCCTAAAATGGGAAGGCTTGGCAAATTAGGAAATGGGGAGTCAGAAAACTATCTGCCCTTGTCATTAACTGACAGTTAGCATAGTTAAGCCTATTTAAGGCTCCCCTCGGTTAATATTTACTACCTGTTAAGGAATGCTATAAGCCTAATATTAGACAACAGAGTAAAAGCACTTAGAAAAATCAGATGCCAGGAAAATACAAGGTACTGCTGCAACTACTGCTAAACTTTTAATGTATGTTCAACCATAATTTCATTATAGGTATCTTGATTTTCGAATTATTTTTAAAGGAATATAATTTCACAGATTTTATTTTTTTTCTTTTCTGCAAACTATGGTGATTTATGACAGATTTTCTTAATATATATTTATTATTGGAGCAATCTTTCCCTGTGAATGCAACAGTACACTTTCTTGGTAAAGACTGCGAAAAATGTTGAAGGCAGAGCCACATAATTCTCAGCTAAGGATTTAAGATAAACACTAAGCAAGATGCATTCATGACTTTTTACTTCTACCCAAGCATTCCTCCTTTTAGTACTAACCCTTTACTTATGTATACTATAACTATACAATCAACCTAGCATTCCTCTGACTTAATTTTATAAGAAAAGTTTTATATATTACATTCTATTATAATTCTTTTTTTTCTCTTTTTGAGACAGAGTTTTGCTCTTGTTGCCCAAGCTGGAGTGCAATGGCATGATCTCGGCTCACCGCAACCTCCGCCTCCTGGGCTCAAGTGATTCTCCAGCCTCAGCCTCCCAAGAAGCTGGGATTACAGGAGCCTGCAATGACACCTGGCTAATTTTGTATTTTTAGTAGAGATGGGGTTTCCTCCAGGTTGGTCAGGCTGGTCTCGAATTCCCGACCTCAGGTGATCTGCCCACCTCAGTCTCCCCAAGTGCTGGGATTACAGGCGTGAGCCACCGCGCCCCAGCATTCTATTATAATTCAAAGTAAAAGGGATACTACTTAAAATTTAAAACATAATTGTAGAGGCTGGGTGCGTGGCTCACACCTGTAATTCTAGTACTTTGGGAGGTCGAGGGGGACAGATCACTTGAGGCCAGGAGTTCAAGACCAGCCTGGCCAACTTGGCAAAACCCCATCTATACTAAAATTACAAAAACAAATTAGCTGGGTGTGGTGGTGCATGTCTGTAATCCTAGCTACTCAGTGGTTGAGACACAAGAATCGCTTGAACCTGGGAGGAATTGGTTGCAGTGAGCTAGGATTGTGCCACTGTACTCCAGCCTGGGTGATAGCACAAGACTCTGTCTCAAAAACAACAACAACAACAACAATAATAATAATGATAATAATCATAGAATGTAGTTACAATGTATTACCACATGATTTTCTCACCATGTCATTAATATAAAACTATAAAATATGCTAAGAGTTTATGTCTATTTCATTTAATTACAGATTTACTGACTATAGGTAAAATCCTCCCAAGAAGTTCTCAACTGAATTATAAAACACACGTATAAAACATTATAGTGTGATTTAGAACTTAAAAAAAAAAATTTCTCTTTGGAAACTTGTCAGATATTAACCTTCCTTAAGTTTCTCTACTTCCCAACACCAAACTATATACCAGACTAGTATTTTTAATGTTTTTAAAATACTTATAGATGTGTACACAAACTTAAGCAAACAAAGTAATACCATCAATAAATAATCAAGATCAATATTGCACACATTTTGTTGCCCTATAAATACAGCAGATATTTGACATTCTCAACTCATATATATCCTAAGATCTTCAGATATCCTCAGATCTTATCATTGCTAATGACTCAACAAGCTTCTGCCATTTTCCTGAATAATGTAACTCTGGAGAGAGCTATGGATCTCTGGGTGGCCAGAGTCATGTGTACCATTTACACCTCCTCATATTACAAGCTTATCACTTTTTTCAATACAGTCTCCCCGCTTATCTGATGGCCATTTTTCACATGCAAAAAAATCACTTCATAAAACTTGGTATATAAATGATGATGAATCAAGAATTAGGACCACAGAGCAATACAAATGTGAGGAACCAACTAGGCTTTGCCATTAGCAAAATAATTCACTCCTGTATCACTGCTATGTAGAGTACTTATTTTCAAAAGTCATGTTTCAGCAAATTACACAGATCTTTAGGGGAGCCTGCAGGAAGTTAAAACTGTGACTGTTAAATCTATAATGCTAAAGATCTATTGTAGCTTTAGATATCTCATATATGTAGCATACATCATAATGAGTCCAAAGTTGTAATCCTGGTGAACTAATTCGAAAAACACTGGAAAAGAATTGTTCCTCTTTGAAGAATTCTGGAAACTTAATATCTCCTTCCAACAAAGGAAACTGCTTTCTGATATCTGCAACATCCTGTATTTACAGAAACATACAAAGAAAAAATTAAATTAGACCCTATGATATTAAGGAAGAATGGGGCAAAACTTTGTTCACTGCTTTAAAATACTATGATGTGACCATGTGCCAATATATGATCTTTCTCCCTTCCTCCCTTCCTCCTTTCCTTTCTTCTTTCCTTCTCTCTCTCTTTCCTTTCTCTTTTCTTTTTTTTTTTTTGATACAGAGTCTTGCTCTGTCATCCAGGGTGGAGTACAGTAGCACCATCTTGGCTCACTGCAACCTCCGCCTCCTAAGTTCAAGTGATTCTCAATTCTCTTGCTTTAGCCTCCTGAGTAGCTGGGATTACAGACATGCGCCACCACATCTGGCTAATTTTTAGGAGATGGGGTTTCAACATGTTGGCCAGACTGGTCTCCAACTCCTAACCTCAGGTGATCCACCCAACTCAGCCTCCCAAAGTGCTGGGATTATAGGCGTGAGCCACCTTACCCAGCCAATATATGATCTTTCAAATGAAGAAATATCAGGCTGAGTAACAAGATTGCAGATTTAATAGTATCACTACCATTAAGCTCAATATACTTCATTAATGGAAAGGTTCTTCCTACTTTAAGCAAGAATTACAAAATTGTTGTCCACTCTAATATTCGGGAGTCAACACCCTCAACTAACATTACTAGTCATCGCCTACATAAAATCTGTGAATTCTACTGAGAGAAGGGACTAAAAGAGAGGGTAAACAACTAAACGGTGAAATTAATGGAAAAAAAATCCCGTTTGATCATTTTAGGGACTACTCCTTAACATGGCAGCCATACTGATTTGACTCTGAGTACGTGTCAAAACTTACACAATAAATTATTTAGGATTCTAATAATTACTTTTGGATTAATATTTTATTAGCTAAGTCACCACCTATAAAATATACAGTAGAAGAGATTTCTTATTGCATAGCGATTAGATGACTATAAACACTAAGATTCTAAAGGCCTACCTGAATACAAAGTAATCAATTTTTAATCATCTTACCTCTTATTTAGAGGCACAAATCACTGAGAAAAAAAATGGAAAAGGATAAACGGTATATGTCAGGCAGTAAGTATACAAATTACAGTGTTGCCAGTTAACATATATACATCCATTTAGATTTTAAGCAATTGTTTACCTTCAGAATTCTTACCTTTCTAGGATCTTCTCCAAGTGACCGTAAGTAGTATTTCTCATCCTTAAACATCCCATAGAAAAATAACATCAGCAATATTTTATTTTTTTAAATGTAAAAATGCTAAGATATGTATAGCTATCAGGTATTCATAATAATCAAAAGTAAAAAAAGAATTATGTACTCAGAACTATGGAAAAAAGTAAAACACCTTAATTTCAAAAATATTACGAAGTAAAGAAGTTAGGAAACAGATCTTAAAATCTGACCCAGTTAAGTAGTTTTCTAAAAAGTTCAATTATCACCGGTCATGGCGGGTCACACTTATAATCCTAACACTCTGGGAGGGTAGGGCAGGAAGACTGCTTATGTCCGAGAGCTCAAGACCAGCCTGGGCAACAGAGTGAGACACCATCTACAAAAAAGTTAGCTGGGTATGGTGGTGCGTGCCTGTAGTCCCAGCTACTCGGGAGGCTGAGGCTGCAGTGAGCTGTGATAGTGCTGCGGCACTCCAGCTTGGGTGAAGAGCAAGACCTTGTTTCAAGAAAGAAAGAAAAAAAAAAGTTAATTTTCTTACCCTTTCTACTAATGCTCTCTGGTGGCCATATGAAGAAATGTCTTTAATATGTTGCTCATAATAATGACTGGATCCTTAAAACATTAAGTAAAATAAATTCTAAAGACAATATATACATACCATCTCTAAAGCTAAAATGAGTTAGTCTTTCTATTTCAAATTATTTACTTATTTTAATAGTGTTTTAATACTTATCAAATATAATACAAATGTACAGTAACAAAATACTTTATGCTTTTAATAATATATATTTTTAAAATCTAGAACACTGTAGTTTATAAATGTAAGCCTATCCCTGCCTATAAGTTCTAAAGCCAAATGCTTAAGATTCAGCTCATGTATGAATTAGAAATATATAATTTCATCGTAGGAAACTTAAATTGATCATTTAAAAAATTATTATTTAAAATTTTTAAATTGTTTTCAGACAGGGTCTCATTCTGTTACCCAGGCTGGAGTGCAGTGATGCAACATGCCCACTGCAGCCTCAACCTCCTGGGCTCAGGCAATCCTCCTGCCTCAGCCCTCCAAGTAGCTGGGACGTTCAGCTAATTTTTTTTTTTTTTTTTTTTTTTTTTTCCCCTCAAACTCCTGGACTCAAGTGATCCTCCTGCCTTGGCCTCCCAGAGTGCTGGGATTATATGCATGAGCCACCGTGCTAAGCCAAAAATTATTTATACTTCACCAAGTACCTAGAGAACTGTTTGAACTATAAAACATTCACTGTTAGAAAAGTGAGACCAAGTCAAGCACATAGGCAATCCAAACTCAGAATTCTGCCTCTTTCACCCAGTACTGAGCATTATAACACAAACTTCAAAAGATCATCATATTTATCTTAAGACATAAATTGATGAAGTTTCAATTGAACTCTCAGATTCACTGTTTTTCTATTTTTAGCTACCACATCAGATTTTCAAAATATGTTCTTCAAAATTCTGAGGGTTTTCTATAGTTCTAAGATTTAAAAAATAAAATTCATGCAGCAGACACAGAGGTATACTTCTCAGAAATCCCTTCAAGAAAGAACTCACTGCTTAACTGCAAGAAGTGTGATTAGCTTAGAGCTACCAGCTGTTAACTTCTTTAGGTCCACCTCAGGATTGGAACCCAGGTCATGCTCTTCTTGGGGTAGTCCCAACCAGTGACTTAAGATGGTAAACAACTTGAACGCTGCCACCCAGTGCAGGACTTTTCTCACAGGCCGTCTGCTCAGGAATTCCAGGATGAGTTGGCAGAGACTGTCAGATCTGTATCTACATCTGACGGCTTCCTCACCTTTCCTTTCCCAGGTATTTCTATTTAACAAGCCTTTTCCACTCCTAATTCCATCTCAGCATCTGCTTCCTAGAGGACCAAACTGACAGTTCATGTTGATCTTGTTTACATACTTTCCATAATTTTTAGACTTTAATCTTTTACCATGTGTCTGTTTCTTTTACTTCACATTTCATGGCTATTTAAATCTTTACCACTCATTACCTTTAGACACAAAAGTACCAACTGAATATACATGTTCAAAGCATGGCTATAAAGTTAGAAAACAGTTCTCAGGTGCAACTCATGGGATCAATTTTAAAAGATATTTTGGTTATATTACAGAATCACAGACCTACAGAGTTTGTGGGGATTGTGGTGGTAATCTAGTGTAACTATTACCTGACAAGAGAACTGTAAAAATGCAGTGGCACAAATGCAGACAACAGCTTTATTCAAAGCTTAAAAAGCATTTTGTTTTTAAAATGTGCTTTTGAGTAACACAGTGAATTTTTTTTTTTTTTTTTTTTTTTTTTGAGATGCAGTTTCGCTCTTGCTGCCCAGGCTAGAGTGCAATGGTGTGATCTCGGCTCACCACAACCTCCGCCTCCCAGGTTCAGGTGATTCTCTTGCCTCAGCCTCCCGAGTAGCTAGAATTACAGGCATGCGCCACCATGCCTGGCTAATCTTGTATTTTTAGTAGAGATGGGGTTTTTCCATGTTGGTCAAGCTGGTCTCAAACTCCTGATCTCAGGTGATCTGCCTGACTCAGCCTCTCAAAGTGCTGGGATTACAAGCGTGAGCCACCGCACTTGGCCAACACAGTGAATTTTTAAAAACATATTTATATACAAGGCCTTAATGCCTTACTCAAGGTATTTAAATTGAATTATTTAAAGCTAGACTTTAAATTATTTGCTACAATATTTGTTCACGATTAAATACAGAAGAATTCTACTTAATTCTTCTGCATTTAATCGTGAACAAATATTGTAGCAAATACAGAAATCACATTGATAACAAGAATATGGAAACAGGCTAATAGTCAATAGATATGAAAATGAAGTTCTCCATTAGCATTTGATGTTGGCATATCAGACCAGAGCATTTTAAAAGGAAGTAACATTAATAGCTAACATTTAATGAGTAATTTCTATACATGAGGCATACTGCTAAGTATTTCACTGACTTTATTTAGTTAATCCTCACAAACACTTTATAAAATAGGTACTATTATTACCCCTATTTCAAAGATGAGTATACTGAAGTACAGAAAAATAGTTTGGCCAAAGTTTGAGAGCTAATGAATAGCAGAGCTACAGTCTATGGTGCATCCAACTACATCTTAAGAATGTCTATCAGAGAAGGCTATAGCTCTTGTATATTTAGCATCCTTTCATAAGAAAACCCATTTAGTATACAGATATTAATGACTTCTTTTAAAAATGTTAAAAGCAATTACCTCTGAAATAAAGAATTCTTTGTGCTTCTCTTCAGCTGCCCTCTGGACCAACTGGTCAAAAGGTAAAGTTCTGAAATAAACATAAAAGAATCCTTGGGCTTAATAATAACAGATCAACTAGTAAGAATGTAATCACTACACATAAAGGCTTGTTGCAGTTGGATATAATCTCCTGTTTTACACTATCTGTAATTTTTATTATAACCTATTATGTGAAATTCTAACTTTTCAAAATTCATTGAGCAGTATGCTTACTTGACCTAAGTTGTCTAAAATTTCGAAATCAAAGATTTAAAACTCTATGGTTCTAATGGATCCTTCTAAAGATCAATATTCTTCTATTCCAAGTTATGACAGAAAAATGTTCCTATGGTATCTGATTACCTTTGCAAATACACAGACTGTTTTTAAGTGTCATGGCAAAACAAATTTTATGAAGAGTGGGGCAAACTACTCATGCTACTTTGGAAGAGAAAATACACAAATGGTCCCATGAAGATAACCACCCTCCATTCTTCCTGCCTTTTGGCACTATCACAGAACACAGAAGCCAGTAACACTGCTCTCATCCTTGCTTCTGAGGAATAGCTCAAGGAGAATTCCAATGAAGTGAGCAATTTTTATTCTTCAAAATTTCTGCCCAAATGCCTGTCTCATTCCATCCTGATGAACAGGGCTGAACACGGTAGAAGCAAAGTTTGTTTTCTTTACATCACACTCTTGAGCTAGAAGGATATTTTTACTCCAGATTGCTTCTATCCCTTCACTTTCTAGAATCAAAAGTACTGCCCTATAAATGAAGATTATAATGTGTAGGTAACAAGACAATGAAGTCCTCAAAAGCCTCTAGGTCAAAAGCTCCTCCTCTGCTCCCTGCACTGCATTCCTGCCTCCAAACTTCTGATTAAAAGCTGAAATCTTTTCAGTCTTACTACTAAATATCTTCCCACTTGAACTCTGTACTGAGAAAGTGGAAAGGAAAGGTTAGCTAAACACTTTCTCCTTCTCTATGAGAAGATGACCTGGGACCAGCTTACTTTTTCCTTGCACTGTTTTCCCAGAAATATACTAAGTAAAAACAAACATGGTGTGAACCCATGAATTATGCTGAATAAAAAAAAAAAATTAAAGAAAAATGTGGAATGTCAGTTGCGACATCAGGTAACACTATTGTAAAAATAACCTTTGGTTGATGAATTATGTCTGCACTATGTGGCTTATGAGTGGACTATAAATACTTGTTCAGAAGTAGAGGATTTGGCTTTCCTGTGTATAGTGCAACTCTCCTGAGTACAGCCCTTGGAAGAATGCAGAAGCTAAGTTCATGGGGTGTTTCAAGCTACTGGTTTCTGTGGCCCGTGTGTCTTACCTAAGCTCAGGTGTTTCTATACTACCTCCATCGTCTCATTTCCTTACAACCAAGCTGTAACTTGATGAGTCAAAAAATAGTCCCTCGATTTGTATAAAGCAGGCATCCCCAAACTGCGGCCCCCCCCGCCACACTTCAGGAAGGGGCACCTCTTTCATTGGTGGTCAGTGAGAGGAGCACAGTATGTGGCGGCCCTCCAATGGTCTGAGGGACAGTGAACTGGCCCCCTGTGTAAAACGTTTGGGGACGCCTGGTATAAAGGCTGCACTGATACTATCCTGCTAGAATGCCATTTCCTGCCTTATATCCTCCTGCAAAAAGCTAAGGGTATCTGATGCCAGATTATGGATTGGTGGGTGCTGTGAATGTCAATCTGAACTTCAGGCTACTCCTGGTAATTATGTAGAGTGAGCATTGCAGGAGAGGAAAGAGGGGTCTGCCACTACTCAGACCAATGCAGAGTACGACTTCTTGGTCTATAAATAGTGTCTGACTAACTAATTATCAACAAATTTACTTGGCATTCTCCTACTCAATGTTTCCCATCTGTGACCTCACCATATACCCTTCATTCTCTCATGCTTTCATTCTTCAAAGCATCTTTGAAGGGTCTGGGCCAGTATGGAAGCCTATCTGGACCATAGTTACTACTGTAATTGCTGCATTTACCCAGGCTTAGCTTTCTTACTAGGGCGAACACAGCAGTATTCTTCAGACCTTTAGAAAAACAGAGCAGAATAGTGACCCTGAATAAGCAGACAGAGTAGCTCAGCCCAGATAAGCAGAAATGGAGTGCCACCAGCAACTTTCTCTCTCAGGTAGTGGTACCTGTCATAGCTTCTGCTAAGCCCAGATGGGGGAGAAATTAGGTATATAAATTAGGAAGTTGTTTGACTTTTAAAAAAATCTATCCATGTTTCAAAAAGAAGGGCACTGGTTATTAAAGTGCCATTTGTCTGGACTGGCAGCACCAATAAGGAGGGTAATGTCAAAGGTTTAATCACAGACTCTGTGGAGTCAGGGAAATTTGAGTAAACACCTTGGGTTCCATCAGTTCAAGCTATATGATCCTGAGAAGTTACTTAATATTTTTAAACCGCTCTTTCCTCATTTGTGAAATTATTATTAAAAATATCTACCTCACAGATTGTTCTGAAGTTTAAATAAGTAATATAACCTAGATTGCTTGGCACAGTACCTAATATAATAAGTGCTGAGTAAAGGACAGATGGTGGGGTTAACAGCAATGATAACGTACCCTTTTGCAGCATGCAAGTAGTCATCAACATTTTAAGAAAGAAGAAAAAAGCCCTTCACTGTCTTGCTCCCCATTTGGAAAAGGCTGTTTTATAAAATCAAGATCAGAACTGATGAGAGTACAACAAACAACAAGAGCAAGATGATGACAGGAATTACAGGATGTGACAGATAGATGTGGCAAACCTTACATGATGAGACTTTTTAAAAACAATCTATGACCAGAAGAATGCCAACAATATCCTTTCACCACACAGGGTTCTTTTGTCCAAACTCTCCTAACTCTGACCAATGAGCGCTACCAAGAAGAAAGAAGTAAAAATTCATATTTGCTAATGTATCAATCTTCCAATGTTTGATAAAGCATAATAGCAATCTCAATTTGAAGTGATAATCATAACAAATATGTGTGTACAGGGTTTCTTACTTTCTAGTCTCTCTCTGGCCTAGATGCATTCCTTCTTTCCTACTGCCTGCTAAATGCTAAAAATGACTAAACCTATTTTTTTTCCTCCACTAAAAAAAATAATCTTGCAACTTTTTAGTAGCTCTAGTGAAAGGCTTGGAGGAAGCTGCGATAGGAACTATTACATAATGTATGTGCTTCAAAAACAAGTTTTGAAAAGTTTAAAAGACATGACAAAACATCAAGGCAATTCAAGATGAAGTTTCAATACTCGTTTGTTATGGCACTGGACTCCCTGGAAAATAAACATCATTAATTGCTGGCTGAAAAACACTCATCATTCCGGTATTTTTAATCTGATAAAAAATGAAAAGTTCTTACACTTGGAAAAACTTAGGGCAATTAAATTCAATTCATGGCCTATTAATAACTAAAACCATTACGGTGAATAGTCAAAGGATTAAAAACTGAGCAATGCTTTGGCAGCTGCTATATGAACTTGGAAAACTAATGAGAAAGTAATGGCTGTGGACATTAGAAGCTCTGTTTAACTCATCTCTAAATTGAAGTCTTGTGAACTACATGGCTTTTCAATAGACTGAATTTGCTGGGAACATCACATGCTCAGAGTTTGAAAGCTGTTTGTTTTTAATTTAACAATTTAAATGAAACTCATGGGAATAAATAGCAAACGAAATCTGCAAGATGACAGCATTTAAAACTTTCATCTTTAGACAATGAGCAGCTTTTGTCTATTTCTTATTTACTCTTAAGAAATTCCACAGCACACAATGACAATTGTGAAAGAAATTAAAGGTATTTAAGATTATTTTATCAAAAGGGAAAATTAAGTATGATTTTTAAAAGTTATCTAAGTTGACGAAAGATTTTATCAGACATAGTTTGTCCCGGTTTTCTGGAGAGGGCAGAAAAAGAAAACAAGAGCCTTTTGGAGTTTCCTGTTCTAGACAACAGTTACTAATGTGGTAGGATCAATTAATTAATCAAGCACTGAATGAACACAGCACATCCAACTTCACATGTAATCTAACCCTAGTTATAGAAATGTTCTCTTCCTTCCACCTCTCCAGAAGGTATTGGGTATATACCGTATTTTTAAAAAATGTTGGCCACGCATGGTGGCTCATGCCTATAATCCCAGCACTTTGGGAGGCCGAGGCAGGTGGATCACTTGAGGCCAAGAGTTTGAGACCAGCCCGGCCAAGATGGTGGAACTCTGTCTCCACTAAAAATACAAAAGTAAGCTGGGCATAGTGGCATGTGCCTGTAATCCCAGCTACTCGAGAGGCTGAGACAGGAGTATCACTTGAACATGGGAGGTGGAGGTTGCAGTGAGCCGAAATCACCCGCCTGCACTCCAGCCTGGGTGGTCGAGTAAGATTCTGTCTCAAAAAAAAAAAAAAAAAAAAAAAAGTCATTGTATAATTATGTAAACTTAGAATTCTTGTCTTTTAAAAACCACTCTTTAAAAATCAGTAAGCTATTCCATGATTACATCAAACCAGCCAAAAGATGAAATGCCATATGGTCTTTGTATAATAATGCAAAAATATTTTAAAAGTTTTAAAAAAGTTATTTGTATCCCCAGAGTAAACCTCAGAAGAAAATACCTATATACAAAGTTCTTACTAATGAAGTCCATCTGTGCAACTGCAGCAACATGAATCTTTACTTTTCTCTTCCCTCCAACTTGGCTTAGGTAATCTGCCGTCCATTTGCTTGTACATGGCCCCAAATCAATTCCTTCCAAAACAAGAGGTTTTCTCTGTAAGAGAGGAAAAAAATACAACAACAAAATTCATGAAAACCAACAACATATCAAGAGCTGTATTTGGCAACATGGAGACAAATACAAGTAAGATCGACTCTTGCTACCAAGATGCTCGAACTCAAAGCTTTTGACAGTTCATGGTGTCACTAAAACAAGAAGAGGAGCCATGCGAAATATCTAGAACAAAATTTGAAGATTAGAAAAACAAAACAAAACTGCAAGACCATCAATAATGACTAAAATTTGTACTTTATAGTCAAATATTTTTGTAACTTTTAATTTTGATGTCATTTCAAACTTATAAAAATGTTTTAAGAACTCTACAAAGAATTTCCACAAATGCTTTACACCGATTCACCAATTGTTAACATTTTGCACATTTGCTTTATGATTTGTTCTTACTGTCAAGAGGAGATATTAATAATTGAAATTAAACATAATTTAATTTTTGAGCCCATTTCGAGGTTTAATTGCTGACACCATGCTCCTTTATCTCTAAAAACTTAAGTATATTTTCTGAGAACAAAGACATTCTCTTATATAACCACAGAATAATTACCAAAATTATATTTAACATTGACGTAGGCCGGGTGCAGTGGCTCATGCCTGTAATCCCAACACTTTGGGAGGCTGAGGCGGGCGGATTACTTGAGGTCAGGAGTTTGAGACCAGGCTGGGCAACATGGTGAAACCCCATCTTTACTAAAAATACAAAAGAAACAAAAGTTAGCTAGACATGGTGGTGCATGTCTGTAATCCCGGCTACTCAGGAGGCTGAGGTGGAAGAATTGTTCCAACCCAAGAGGCGGAGGTTGCAGTGAGCTGAGATCAAACCATTGCACTCCAGCTTGGGTGACAGAGTGAAACTCCATCAGACACACAAAAACAAAACATTGACATAATGCTACTATCTAATCTACAATCCATATTCAAATCTTCTAATTGTTCTGATGATTGCCTTTAGCATTATTTTTTTCCTAGCCCAGAATTCAATCTAAGATGTCACATTGCATTTAGTTGCAACGTCTCTTTTAATCTGAAATGTTTAATCATCAGCCTCTTTATCTTCTATGATCTTGACATTTTGGAAGAGTATAGGCTAGCTAATTTGTAGAACACCCTTCAAATGGGGTTTATCTGAAGTTTCTTCATAATTAGACTCAAGTTACTCATTTTGGAAAAGGAATGTGCCACAAAAGGAATGGTGCTGCCTTCTCAGCATGCCACATCAGGTGGCACATGATGTTTTGCTATGATGAGTGCAAAAAACAGTGATTTTTCTAAACCCCATCATTTCTTCTACATTTATTAGTTGGCATTCTAGTATCAAAGTAAGCTCTAACTTTTCCACTGAATTATTTTATTCACTGGGTAATAATCTAGTGGTATAATTTTGATGCCCAAATTATCCCAGATTTGATCAGTAAGCCCCTTCAAAACGCTACTTGTGACTTTTTAACCTGGGCACTTCCTTACTTTATGGCAAAATGACACAATCTGACATCTTTTATACTTTTTCTGCCCAGCCCTATGATCAGTCATTTCTTAAAGTAGCTCTGGTTTCTTCATAGTGGACAGAGCTAGGATATATGTGAGGATCTATGTATACCCCACAATTCATATTCCTATTCTATTCAGCTCTCTCTCCATATATATCCATATATAAAATACATGCACACACACATATACCTAATAGAGGTATGTATGAACCATAAACATTTCAAGTTCATTATAGTCGACTGAATTTGTAATTCCCATTTTCAACAGTGAGAAACCTAGTTCCCATCCTTCTCAATGTTTAATCACTTGCAAAATCCCAGAATTCACAGGAAGTAAAGAATTCACAGAATTTGCTTTTGCCACTGTTAGGTCACACCACTGTAAAAAAACATGTCTACAGCAGGTCCTCAAATTAAGTTATAAAACAGATAAGAAAAAAAAAAATCAATTCCTAGCCAGGGCCACTGTCTGAGTGGTTCTTCCATTCTCCTCACATCTCTGTGGGTCTTCCCAGGAACTCTGGTTTCCTCCCACATCCCAAAGATGTGCACGTTAGGTTCACTGGCATGTCTAAATGGTCCTAGTATGAATGAGCACGCGTGTGTGTGCATGTGTGTGTGAGTGCGCCCTGAGATCGGATGGTATCCTGTCCAGAGTTGGTTCCTACCTTGTGCCTGAGCTGCCAGGATAGATTTCGGCCACCTGTGACCCTGAACTGGAATAAGCAGGTTGGAGAATGAAGGAAGGAGTGGATACAAAATATGTAAAACAAAAATTTGTAAAGCATATGATAATCATACAAGTGCACAATAAACAAGGCAGTATGAAAGCACTCAGTGAACTTGCCACATTTGTTTTTGAACTGTTCAGTGGTAGGAGGCACTCCTTACAATTTTCCATTTGTAAACATTTATTCCTTGATTTAACCCACCACTATAATTACCACTGTTGGACAACAATTCACCAAAAATTGAGTAATTATTTGTTTTTATTCATCTTTCTTAAATGTCTACGGAGCTCATATTTATTTCAATGTTTAACATTAGAAGTATTTTGGGTCTTTATTTACAAGTTTGATGATGTTTTTATGGCCATAAATATGCTACTGTAACTTAACTCTTGTTCATATCAACTGACCTGTGGTAAAAACTGGTTTCATTATAGGCCATTTCCCTTAAAGTTGCAGCTTCCAAGAACTTACGGAGAACATTAAATGGGGACTTATTGTACTAACTAGAATTCAGTTTGTTTTCAGTTTTTTGTCTTAGATTGAGGACATATAATTAAAGTACTGTGTTTAAAAAAAGTGACATGGGTAACTTCTCTCTCTCCCATTTAAATAGGTTCATCATGTGTTACTTTTTATATTCTATATTACAGGTTTTTAAAAAATAATTTTTCATCCTTGTTGATTTTATGACTTTAGCATGTAAAACATTAATGTGATTCCCCAAATCAAAACTATACAAAAGTCACCCCATCCATATTCTTCCATCTCATACTCACACATCCCCTATGCATAACCGATTCTCCTTAATTTTTGGCTTATCATTCCTGTATTTCTTTTCTGCAAAGTGATCAAAAACGTGTATTTCCCTCTCTCTTCCTTTTTTTACATAAATAGCTTACTATATATTTTGTAATTTGCTTTTTAAAAAATTCATAAATATATCCTAGAAATCACCACTCTCAGATCAGATATCACCTTTATTCTTTTTTACATCTTAGTATGCCTCAGTGTAAATGGGTCATAATTTATTCAGCTATTCTCATCTGCATACGCATTTAGGTTATTTCCAATAATTTGCAAGTACAGTAACACTATGTAAATATTTTCACATTTTTGAAGGTATATCTTCAGAATAAATTCCCAAATGAGGAATTACTGGGTCGTAAGTAAACACGCATAGTTAGATATGCCAAAAGAGTTGTACCATTTGGTATAAAATTTGACAGTGCCAGTTTCTTCACAGCCTCACCAAGAGAGCACTACCAGAGCTTTTTTAAATTGTTGCCAATATAATAGAGAAGAAGTTGTATCTCAATGCAGCTTTATTTCTCTTATGAGTAAACTTAAACATCCTAGTTTAAAGGCCATTTTAATGTTGCTTTTTCTCCCCTCAATCATTTGTTCATTTTTCTACTAGCTTTTCAGCCTTTTACCACCCCCTCACTCCTTTTTTTATTTTGAAACAGAGTCTTGCTCTGTTTCCCAGGCTGGAGTGCAGGGGCCCCATCTTGGCTCACTGCAACCTCCACCTCCCAGGTTCAAGCGATTCTTCTGCCTCAGCCTCCTGAGGAGCTGGGACTACAGGTGCCGGCCACCACGCCTGGCTAATTTTTGTATTTTTAGTAGAGACTGGGTTTCACCACGTTGGTCAAGCTGGTCTCAAATTCCTGACCTCATGATCTGCCTGCCTGGGACTCCCAAAGTGCTGGGATTACAGGCGTGAGCAACCACGCCTGTGCCTTACCCCGATTTAAAAGTTCTTTCCATACAAGGGCTTTGACTGTCCTTTATATGAGATATATGTTGCAACTATTTTCTCCTAGTTTGTATTTGTCTTTCAAATTTGCTTATAGTGTTTCTGGCATACAAATGTTTCATGTAGTCAAATTTTAATCTATTATTACACCTGAATTTTGAGTCATAGGTAGAGATGCCTTCCATTGACCTAGATTATAGAGGAATTTACTCATATTTTCTTCTAGCACCGTGTAGTTTCATTTCTTTACATTTTTCTGATCCACTTGGGAATTTATTCTTATGTACAGTGTGAGATATAAATAGAACTTTATCATTTTCTAAATGACTATCCAGTTGCTCCAGCACCATTAGGGCAGTGAAACTCCTATGTATAATACCACAATGGTGGATTCATTTTATTATAAATTTGCCCAAACCTATGGCATGTAAAATATCAATAGTATACCCTAAATGTAAACTATGAATTTTGGGTGAAAATGATATGTCAATGTAGGTTTAACAATTGTAACAAATATACCACTCTAATGAGGGGATGTTGATCATGGAGGAGGCTATCCATGTCAGGGCAGGAAGGATATGAGAAATCTCTGTCCCTTTAGTCAATTGTGCTATGAACCTAAAAAGACTCTAAAAAATAGTCTATTTTTTAAAAAGTCATTTTTTGCCCTAGGGCTTTTTGAAATGTCATGTTTATTACACACTAAATTTCCATATGAATAGATAATTCTGAACTTTCAATTTTATTCCCCTGGTCTATCTATTCATGTACCTGTACAATATACAGATGAAGTTATTGTAAAATGTTTACAAAAAATCTCATAGGCCTATGTCCCCCTTATGCTTTTTAATGTTTCCAGATAGAAAGGTAGGTCATTTTTTTTTCCAAATTTTGTTATTAATTTCTAGTTTCACTGCACAATGGCCAGAGAAGGTTGTTTGTAATTTTCAACTTTTTAAAATATAATGATGCTTTCTTTGTGACATATGTCTTGTCTGAAGAGATTAAATTACAAAATACCTTTTGCAAAATTCCTTTTGCTCTGCATCTTAAAAGGCACTTCCACATACATTAATCTTCACAACACTGCCTTTTAGGCAACTTATGACTAGCACATTCTGAGATGGGAGGGGTGGAGTGTCTAGAGACAGGGAGAGCAAGAACAACCCATCTAGTACAAGTCTCCAAATAAAGGCTTGAATCCTATACCAGAGGTTGCTATCAAAAGAAAAACTTCATTCCTCCCACGCCACTACCTTCGCCTTTCTTTTCTATTTTTTTTTTTTTTTTTTTTTTTTTTTTTTTGATCGAGGGTCTCTCCCTCTCCCACATGCTGGAGTGCAGTGACAGGATCATGGATCACTGCAGCCTCAACCTCCCGGGCTCAAGCAGATCCTCCGACCTCAGCCTCCAGAGTAGCTGGGAAACAAAGCCTGCCACCACATCTGGCTAATTTTTATCTTTTTTGTAGAGACGGGGTTTCGCCATATTGGCCAGGCTGGTCTCGAACTCCAAGTAATCCACCCGCCTCGGCCTCCTAAAATGTTAGGATTACAGGCGTGAGCCACTGCACCCAATCCCTGACTTTGGTAACACTCAGAACTGTAGTTTTTTTGTTTGTTTGTTTTTTGGTTTTTGGTTTTTTTGAGATGGAGTTCACTCTTGTTGCCCAGGCTGGAGTGCACTGGCACAATCTCGGGCTCACTGCACCTCTGCCAGTTGGGCTCAAGAGATTCTCCTGCCTCAGCCTCCCGAGTAGCTGGGATTACAGGCATGCGCCACCACGCCCGGCTAATTCTGTATTTTTAGTATAGACGAGGTTTCTCCATGTTGGTCAGCCTGGTCTCGAACTCCCGACCTCAGGTGATCCGCCTGCCTCAACCTCCCAAAGCACTGCGATTACAGGAGTGATACACTGTGCCTGGCTCCAGAACTGTAGTTCTGTGACCACCCTTATAAATGCAAATATCAGGTAAGAAAATTGCTAGGGTTTTTTTGTTTGTTTTTGTTTTTTTTTTTTACCATAAACAGACTTACTGTAATGCTGTGGATTTTTCCTTTCAATACTTTCTGTTTTTCTTAAGTCTGGACTCCCTTGTAAAGCACTGCAAGTAAAAGCACTTTTTGTTTCCCTAATATTTCTCTATTCGTTTTCTTTTAAAGATCTGAAGTTCTAAGAACAGGTATAAAAGACTCCAATGTCGGAACTAGAACCTAAGTTAGAACTCAAGGCCAGTAGGAGTTTCCCGGGGAAATCTCATTGCTTTCCCTGTTGGCTCAATGGAGTGAAAAGCTGTGCCTCCAAATCCATTAATTCGGAGTAGACTGACAGATGTGGAGTGGAGAGCTTAAGCAAAATACCTCTCGCATTCAGCTCTCCGCCATCGTCTAGCTCCCTACAAACATTGGACTTTCTCCGGAAATTTCAAGAGAGGAGCCAGTAGGCGTCCCCGGTACCCCCGCCCCTTGGCCTAAGGGCCAACCAGTCATCTGCTGCAGTCCTGCGCCTCTTTCCCACATCCTGGGTCTCTAAAAACCAGTTCCGAGCAGTACGAATGGTAAAGACGCGTCTCTCGCTGGCTTCCCATGATTCCGCCCCGCGCGAGGGCCTCACCTGTGGGTAGAGGTGCTTCATGAAGTGCTCCCGAGAAACGCCCTCCAGCCGGGGTACCGGGAGGTGCTGCCCAGCCATGGTTGCTCACGCCTGCCCTCTTTCAGTCCTCGGAACTTCGGTTCTAAAGGGCTCCTCAGCGCCATCCGCCCGGAAACACGACCGACAGAGAAAAGGTCCGCGAGGCCGGCGGACTCCAGAGTGGCTGGCTCCGTGCGCGCGGGGGGTTGCCGAAGGGCCTCGGCCTGGGCTGCGTGCTGGAGAGCGAGGACGTGGCCGACTCACCAGAGGCGGCAACAAGCCGCCAACTTTGCTTTCCAGTCTCCTTCTCCGACACCACTGAGGTGGTTTCCCACCGACTTCCTTTCGGTACAGCACCCGCAGGCACAGGGGTGAAGGGTCATGAACATGGCGCTGGCCGCTCGTATGTTACCCCAATTGCTGAACTCTCGGTCGCTGCTCTGCGGGGCCGCCCGACTCCGGACTCCCGGTGCGGCCGAGGTGAGGCTGCCGTCGGCCGGACTTTGCTACCTTTGCCGCTGTCGCCTCGGCTCGGGAGCGGCCTCATTTCCCCGAAGCGCTTGGGCCTCGGCGGCCTCGGTGCTACCTGCCCAGGACTCCTGGCGGCCAGTGCTCAGCCGCCCGGGACTCCCCACAGCCTTCGCTTCTTTCCCTGTCTGCCCTTGGCGCAGCTACAGCACGGAGGAGAAGCCCCAGCAGCACCAGAAAACCAAGATGATCGTCCTGGGATTCGCCAACCCCATCAACTGGGTTAGGACTCGAATTTACGCCTTCCTTATCTGGGCCTATTTCGACAAAGAGTTCAACATCGCAGAGTTCTCTGAGGGAGCGAAGCAGGTTTGTTTATTTCCCTGGTTGACCTATCCATCTCTAATGAGTTTATTACTCCCAGAAGTGCTTAGCAGTGAGGTTTCTTCAGTGGGATACAAGCGATCTAACGTGATTAGTGGCCCAGACATAGAGCCTTCCAGCCATTGACTGACCTTAAGCTTCTGGGCCAGGTATGGTGGTACACACCTGTAGTCGCAGCTACTCGGGAGGCTGAAGGGGGAGGATCTCTTGAGCCCAGGAGTTGGAGGTTGTAGTGAGCTAAGATCGTGCCATTGCACTCCAGCCTGGCAGACAAACAGGCCCTGTCTCAAAAAATAGAAAAAAAGAAAAAGCGATATGGTCCCATCTTGTCTGAGCATAATTTTCAAATCTACGTAGTGGGCAAGACAATGCCTGGCACATAGTAGGCACTCCATGAATGTTTGTTGAATACCTTAATGAATGCATAAGATTGAAGAATAGATAAGATAACATTTCCTAAGTGATATAATGTCACCTGGAGTAGAAGAGTAGAACTTCCTGCCAGCTATTTGACAGAGCCCACCAATATACCACCCCTTAATCATATTCCTTAAAGGTTAAACTGGAGGTTAGCAATTTTACCCCTTCAAAGAATTTGCTGAGACTGCCTGGTGGCTAAGTGCACAGCACACAAAATATTTAGCCGTTAGAGATTCTTATCCCCGACTTTGTTAGTTATGTACCTCTTTCTGAATGGCTGATTATGCATTGCCTTACACTTGCAACATATGGTCACTTGGGTCCTGAGATCATTTGTAGATTTTGTGGGTACATGCTTTTTTTCTAGGACTAAGGGCCATCTATACCTTTCTTTGGACTCCTTTACAGATTGTATATCGTTCCCAAACGTTGCAGAACTTTTGATAACAATAGAAGTTGGCTGGGCGCAGTGGCTCACGCCTGTAATCCCAGCACTTTGGGAGGCCGAGGCCAGTGGGTCACAAGGTCAGGAGTTTGACCAGCCTGGCCAATATGGTGAAACAGCATCTCTACTAAAAATAAAAAAATTATCTGAGTGCGGTGGTGGGTGCCTGTAGTCCCAGCTACTCGGGAGGCTGAGGCAGGAGAATCGCTTGAACCCTGGAGGCAGAAGTTGCAGTGAGCTGGGATCGTGTCACTACACTCCATCCAGCCTGGGTGACAGATACACCTCCATCCAGCCTGGGTGATGGAGCAGTACTCTGTCTCAAAAAACAAACAAAACTAGAAGTCATAGAGTTTATTTCCAGGTTTAAAACCATATGCCTTAAAACCATGCCATTGTTGTAATCATTTTACAATTTGCTGGTATTGATGTTTGACTCCAAATTTATTTCAGATTCTTTCCATAATCCTGGCTCTTTGTATTTATGAGACCTATCAGTTGTAAATCAAATATTGTCAACTTTGTGTAACAAGTGTCAGCACTAACTCCTGCTGCCTGCTTCTCGAGTCAACTCTTGACTACTATATATGTTATATTAAAAAAAAGTCAAAGAGCAAGCTTAATTAAGATACATAACTCAGCATCATAATTAAGGGATAAACCTCTGTTCATGTCAGTTCTCAAAATCTTTTGTCTATGCAGTGGTAAGTTGTATTGATCCTACTCTTCTCTACAATGCCTGCTGATGTTATATGAGCTGGTCTACCTCATAACACATGGTACCAGTTCATTTATGTTCTAGGAAGGAATGGAAATCACCTCCCCACCATTGGCAGGAATCAAGCCTCAGTACTTGTTTCCTCCGAACACACAGAGGAGCATGCAGCATTTTGGGAGTCACTCCAATCCTAGTTGTCCTCCAGCTGTTAGCTACTTTCACCTCCTTCCTTGCTATTAAGCAGTATTTGTACCCCATTCATCAGCCAGTGTGTATGCAGTGTTGCTTATATAAAACAACCAACCAAAATTTCAGTATCAAAGTGTCAGAGGGGTTGTTTTCTCCTGAGACCTCTCTCAGCTAACAGATGGCCATCTTCTCGCTGTGTCCTTGCATGGTCCTCCCTATGCATGTGTGCTCCTGGTGCCTCTTACTCCACATTTCCTCCTCTAATAAGGATGCCAGTCAGAGTGGATTTTGGCCCACCCTGATGGTCTCATTTAACTTATTCACACCTCTTTAAGGTCTTATCTCCAAATATAGTCACATTCCAAGGTTCTGGGGGTTAGAGCTTCAACATAAATTTAGGGGGAAGAAGAGCACAACTCATCCTGTAACAAGTAGGCAGTATTCTCTGACATGCCATATCTGACATATCTGTGCATCCCCCGGCAGCTCAGATTGCAGCTTATTTCAGATTTCAGTTTAGATATTACTTCCTTTAGGAAGTCCTCTCTGATCCTCCCAGATTAGATGTGATGGTTCTCCTTTATGCTCCCAAGTCATCCTGTTCTTATCACTGTCAAAATTCTTAAACTTGTCAGTTTACTTGTCTTTTCCCCAAGTAGACGGAAAGTTCCCTGAAGACAAGGTCTTAATTCACAGTTTGATTTCTCATTGCTAGTAATGGGGAGAATTGCAGTTGGGTTTTTACCTCCTTGAAAATAGAATTTCATACTTCAAAGCTAGGATCTACTGTTTTAGACCATATAAACTAATTACCTATTCTCCCACTTTCCCAAACTTATATTATCTCCCATACTGAGATTCAGACTACAGCCCAGATTTCCAGACTCCCAATACAGTCTAGACTGTTCTCCTTTCCAACTGCTATCTATGCACGATTAAGAGGTAGGTCATAGAACTGCCCAATGATTGTTTACTTCACCATTTTAAAAGGAAATAGAAAGGAGGATTTTTATTAAGACATCTGGATTGCACACCACACACTATCATTTCCCAGGCCCGAGAGTGGATTCAGAATTAAAGGTCAAGTCACTTACTGCTATATATGTGGAAAAGCCATGTATGAAAAGTCAACTAACCTTGGAGGAGTCATGCTTTGATAAATTAATATTTGATATTGCTTATCTCTGTTACTATAAAATAGTCTTTATTTTACTTAGCCATTTAAATATGAACATGGTGTGGTATTTTGAAATAATAATCACCACCCTTCCCTTAATATTTTTTTTTAAGGCCTTTGCTCATGTATCCAAGTTGCTGTCACAGTGTAAATTTGATCTGTTGGAAGAACTTGTGGCCAAAGAGGTAAAGTATATTTTACATTTTGCTTTAAAAATATATTGTCTTGCAGTAGAATGATGTATGTTTTCCTTATTTATAAGGAAAATAAATAAAAATATTGTGTGTGCCAGCATCCAAAGTAGAGTCTGTGTATCTGTTCCAATGGGTACTTTGGGTCATATAAAAGTATGGAATAACTCTTGATACTTAAGGCGTAAGTAAGTAATCATGATGTCTTTCAGTTGCTCTTATATTGAATGTTCTGTTAGAAATTACCTAGTTGAATAATGAGATGCATTTCAGCCTTGCTTTTGAGGATGAGTAAATATGGTAGTAAATTTAAAAACAGGTATGGAAAAATGTATTCCATGATAAAGATCACTTTTGAAAGGTTTCAAATATTGAATTGGTGAACTAATGGCTTGCTTTTTTCAAACTTAGGTGCTACATGTATTGAAAGAAAAGGTTACTTCACTACCTGACAACCATAAAAATGCCCTTGCTGCTAACATAGATGAAATTGTATATACATCAACAGGAGACATCTCCATTTACTATGATGAGAAAGGTAATGCCAGAACATAGTCGACTTGAAATGATCCATAGTTGTCCAGAAAGCTAAGATAGTAGATAATCACAAAATAGTGGAGTTTTGTCAGGACAAGTAAATATTGATAGAACTTCAAAGAAAATGTTATATTCATTCTTTAAAGACCTACTTTTGAAAGAGTTAAGATATGGTAATCATTTCTTAAGCCTTTCTATCTAGAAATTTTTTCTGCTACTATTTAATTCACAGTCAAGAACATCATCACTTATATTGTTGAAAATAGTTTGAGCGGCTCCCACATCTTAAACTGAAAATATTTGTGTTTCAGATTTCCTAACTTGAAGGAAACAATTGAGTATTTTAAAACTGTACTTTATATGGAAGGAATATGGGGTAAAAGAAAATCAAAGTAGATATTGTCAGCTAAAGACGATTTGAAAAGATTAACTGCAGAACTCTCAAATTGGATCTATTTGAGAATAATGAAAAAAGTTGGGAGGAAGTTTAGTGGTTATATGGTTCTTCTTGTCCACAGCATATATTTTCCCTATAGCATTCCTGATAATTCACTGATTTATTTCTAATACATACAAAGTTGGTCCTCTATATCCAGGGATTTCACATC